CGACATGGTCCGGAACAGTGACATCCGGAAGAGCCTTGGTATACAGCCTTTGCTTCTCCAGATTGAGAAGGTCACAGGTGCGATGGTTTGGCCACGTGTTGCGAATACCTCCAGAAAAGAAGCTGAAATAGCTATTTCTTGCCCAGCCGACCGGCTAAAGGCCCAGAGGATGGCTAAGAGTAACCTGGTTCAAGTATGTAGAAGTAGTTGGCTCCAGATTCCAGTTGTCCGTTGCTGATGCTTAGACTCTGGCACAGGATCATGAACGTTGGCAGCACTGTCTTACTCGCCTGTCCCCACCATCTGAAAGGAGAAGCTGTCATGAAAGATAAAGAGGATGAAGAAGATTGGTAGTTTAATCGTCCAAGATGCTGAAGTCATGCACTTGTCTACCTTCTCCAGCAACAAATAACAAATTTCATTTTCTATGCCATTTACCGATTCAATATCATCTGCCTATCACGTACAATATGTCTGTAAGATATCTTGCTAGATTCCTGAAAGTGCCTTGTTTCTAGAAAGCAATTTCTTCTATGCTCTGCAAAACGTTTGGAGTGGAAGTAATGAATGAGCAAATGTTTCATCTTTCCTGAAATGGGATATTTTGATTGGGCATGTTGATACAGTATGGCATGAGCTTCTTGCCTTTAAGCAGGGATATGATCTCATCACCCTGAGCGCTCTTCAAGCAGAAGCATGGGATCATTTTCAGTGCTTAACAGCGTCATATCTTTGAGCGAACTATTTGAAATTTACAGCCGTTTGTTAGTGCGCTCTCCTTGAGTTCCTCTTGTACTTACTAAAAGTTTCTTTGATGCAGAGAACCAACAGCTGCGCTACTAAGAAACAATCATAATGCCTTTCGAATTCTAACCCAGTTTATGTGAATGTAAATTTGATGGCATATCAAGTCTTCATTGTTTCTCTGCCGACATCTTGACAGCAAGTTGAATAAGAAGAAGCCATTAACAAGATTTTGTTCAGATTATTCATTTCATTATGCATGTCATCCTGAACAAGGTGTGACCACTGAAGATTGAAGGTGATTCAGTCAGAATGTTGGCAGCGCGTTAATCATGAAAAAACTGTTGGATTATTGTGCCTGCTCAAAGTAGACCGCCACTGCATGTCAACTCAGTACTCAGTACTTCTGTCTGGCCCTTTACAATATCGATAAAGCTCTCTCTCTCTCACACACACACTTTCAAAATGTGTTTGGCAGAAATCTGTTCTATTGCGGAATCGGTGGTTTCCAGACTTGGCCTATCATTAATGACTTCAATTGCTTCGTAGTTTCGTTCTTATCATTACCATCTGGTTCCTGGCCCTTATTCCACGCCTATGAATTTGTGATTTCAACTATTTTTGCTGTAAAAAACTAACAATCCTTTCATACGCTGATGTGCAATGCAAATGTCTACGGGAACAACCGATGAACATATTCTAGTGGTTGTCCTGGTGGATTAACAACCCATACTGACAGCTTGATTATTTTTTCCACCATCTTATTTAATATGAAGCCACAATACTTCGTTAACAGCTCCACCTAATCGGAAGATTTCTTCACGGATTTCAGTATCCTGTCGTATTGGAAATCTGCAAACTGTAAAAGTAAACGTTCATTCACATCAGCCATGGCCTAACGGCATTGCCGTAGGCTTATTTTCCTAATCATCGGTGGATTCCCTCATATAACTTTATGCAAATACGCCAAATGCGATCAGCACAGGTGTTTATCTTAGATGAGTTGGACTTTCCACGGTGCGATTCACAGCATACAAACGGCTTGTTGATTACGAAATGAAGCTCTACATGTTAATAGCTGTGCTCATCTTCCAGAACTTTTCGATGCTGATTCGCTCCTTACTTCTGGAAGATTATGGCGCACTTATGCCTGCAGTAATTTTTATGCCTCTGCCTCCTCCATCGACTTACAAGAACGCGAAGTCGCAAAGTAAGTTTAGCCGTTGCAAATTCTAAAACTGATCCATGTGCGGTTCATATCTGAATAATTTCTAGATCGTCTTAATAAGTTCAGCGCATTAAAGCACAATGA